AATAACATGACGAGGACATTCCAAAAAATGTTGTTCTAAGAGAACGTATGAAAACGTATATTAAATATTACTCAAGTTATAAGAAATTTACATAAACATTACTTTAAGAATGTTCTGTTAGCTGGGGTACATGAAGAAAGCTAGCTGTTATCATTGGCATTTATCTCAATGGCAGTTGCTCGGCTAGTGTGTGATCACTTCTATGGAAGGATGTGACTAATCTGGTTGCTAATTGTTTAAATGTTTTTGAGCTAACCATCTAATTACTATGGAGCCACGGGAAAATTATGTCATAACAATGCTGATTGGTTAATGGCACCACAAGAAAAAACAGAAGTTTATGCTAATACTTGCTACAGGGGAAGTGTGGCAATGCTGAGAATGCAGCACATGCTTGATTTTTGTTATGAATAATGTTCTGATTCTAAACCTGTGTTAGCATGTTTCTAAGCTAATACCATTACTCTAATAAGAACAAAAATGTCAGTCATAATCATACTGTATATTGGGGCAAAATTAATTACTTTCAATGCTGAATGAATTATATATTAAAATGGACATTTCTTGTCTCGAACTTGTTGTAATGCCTCGAATGTAAAGCATACATAAAATTCTGCCTTAGACTTTGGCCAAAATGAGGGATATTAAAAGTAATTTCCTATGAGGCCTTAAAATGCACTCTAGTTTTGCATCTAACAAAGCACTTGTTTTGTTAGAATACAGTTTGTACAATTTTATACATATTTCCATTCATTCATTCTTTTTCTTTTGAAAGAAACTAATATTTTTATTAATATTTTAAAGAATGCATTAAATTGATGACGAGTGACAGTAAAGGCATTTATAATGTTACAAAAACGCTTTATTTTTTCTTCAAATAAATGCAGATTTTTTTGGACTTTCTATTTGTCAAAGGATCAAGAAAAAAATGTATCATGGTTTCCACAAAAAAACATTAAGCAGCACAAATGTTTTTAACATTGATAATATTGATAAATGCGTCTTGAGCTGCAAATCAGCATATTAGAATGATTTCTGAAGGATCATGTGACACTGAAGACTGGAGTAATGATGCTAAAAATTCAGCTTTGATCACAGAAATAAATTAAATTTGAATACATATTAAAATAGAAAACATATTTTAAAGTGTAATAATATTTCATAACATTACTGTATTTACTGTATTTTTTATTTAAAAAATGCAGCCTTGTTGAGCATAAATTTTACACTATATATACACTTACACACTTTTGGCCGGTAGTGTGAATATATAACATAGTATCGGCCAGATCCAAATGTGCATGTGAAATCACAACACTGCTATTATTTCTGATACTGCCTTTAGCACAGGTTACATGAACAAACACAAACAGACCCCTGCATCAGTCCTGATTATTTCTCTGACATAAATATTGTGCATAAAACCTGTTGTTCCCCCCCAAAAAATGTGTAAAATCTGACGTTTTCAGTATTGTGTGATTACACTTGGATTGGGACAAACTCATCGCATTCAGTTTGTGAATTCCTGGCCACAATTAGAGAAATTGTAGCAGGTCTGTAATCCTGCGGCGAGAGTTGAAAGAAGCTTTGGGTCGTTCTGCGGGCCATTAGAGGATGATGGGAGGTCAGGTTTGTGCAGGGAGGGAACAGCTCGTCTACTTCCAAATGTGATTACAATGATGCAGCGTGAGCGGGCACATATATTCATATGATGGGATTTAGATTGCATTCATCTTAAGGGACTAGGCTGGCTGCACGCAATGGCAGTGCGTACTTTATTTATTAGTGAAGTGTGCCTCAGAAACCATGTACATTTACAGTAATGAGACTTTTGTCATCGAGAAACATTGTAGCTGATTTCCATCTAAATAGGGTCGTTGTTCATAGTTCAGACCTTTTTTTGTGCTTGTATTTCTTTAGATGACGCATTTAATGCGCTGAAAGTGCAGGTTGAAGCATAAAGAAAGCTTTTTCTTTTGTGGTAATTCAGAGAAAATGCACATAGCCCTGCTAAACACTGCAAACTTGCCATTTCCTCTGTGCAAAGATATGCGAGCTTAATCACACACACTCAGATTAAAGTGTGTGTGTGTGTGTGTTGCGTTTGTGCGTTCATCAGCGCTGCTATGGTGAGAGGTGGGAACAACAGAGACGTACGAATTGTTGCTAGAGATACCTTCCCATGGGGAAGCACTGAAGAATACACTCCAACAAATACTTCGTCCGAAGCTTGATACTGTCTGTCTGGTTTTTATACCTCCATTTATATCAATACTCTCCACGTTTCTTTTCTTTCGTCGTTTAGCTGCAGATTCTCCTCGGTCCATTCCGACTGAATGTTTAGGAAATGTGCTGACAGCAGCATCAGACGGAGGAGAGAGGGAGGGAGGATGGTTTTGAATTTTTCTGGGATGGTAGAAGGATGCAATAATATCTTTGAGAACGTGAAAACTGTTTATCTCGCACAGATTCTTGTTTTATCAACCATCCGCACACACACATGTGCGATTCACACCCACAGTCATAAAAATGGTGAACGCTTTTGGGTTTCCATGACCTCCTTTCCCGAGTCGGTCTTTTGTCATATGCCGCTCTCTCTCCCTCGCTCTCTCTGTTTCTCAGACTAATCCTGTGCTTTGGCCACGTTTCTCCTCTGGCTGCATGTGTGTCATTTTGTGTTTTGTGTGTGTGAGTGTGTTTAGAGGGGAAAGCTCAGACCATCTTGAAAAATTGATATTTGATCCCGTGTGTAAAGGAGAGGAATGAGTCCAGCTAGCTTCACACCAAACATCAACACTTCTCTCTTTAGTCTGTGATGTATGATGGATTTCTTCATATGCCAGGCTGGCATTTTTAATGACATGATGAAAAATGTCAGGGCCGTATATATGTACAGTAAAAACATTTTAGTAGTTCATCATCTTGATGTTTATTTGAGAGAAATGATAGCTGTACTTTGCAAAAATGACTACATTGTCATGCTGGACAGCCCCGCCCACTGTGAAATTTCACTGAAATCTGATTGGACATTTTGCACCTAGGCTGCATTTATTTGTTTAAAAGTAAAAACAGCAGTATTGTGAAATATTAGTACAATTTCAAATAACTGTTTTTTATTTGAATGTATTTTAAAATGTCATTTATTCTTGTGATGCAAAGCTGAATTTTCAGCATCATCACTCCAGTCTTCAGTGTCACATGATCCTTCAGAAATCATTCTAATATGATGATTTGCTCAAGAAATATTTCTTATTATTATATTGTTGAAAACACTGATTCATTTTTTTTTTCAGGATTCTTTGTTGAATAGAAAGTTCAAAAGAACAGCACTTATTTGAAAATCTCAATGACAAAATAATTTTTTTGTAACATTATACATGTCTTTTCAGTCACTTTTGATCAATTTAATGCATTCTTGCTTTATACAAGTATTAATTTCTGTCAAAAAATCTTACTGGGTCATGGGTCAAAGACAAAAAGGGGGCTTAAAGCAAAACAATAAAAGTTTAATACATTGGAAAATACACGGGAAAAAATTCTGAGAAAGAAAAATGTTCACAAAAGTTATTTGAAACATTAAAGTAGACACTTTACATGCATTTAACCCTTACAGAAATGAACCATGGTTTTACAGGGAAAACAAAAACATGGTTATTGTAGTTAAACCATGGTAACCACAAATTAACCATGTTTTGCTACACTAACCATAGTGGTATTTGTAGTAAAACTGTGGTTATACAAATGGTAATCAATACACCAAAAAAACCATGGTTACTAGTTTTATTATAATAAAACCATGGTTATTTTCGCAAGGGAATATGCTATATGTATATAAAATAATTACTTTTGTAAATTTATTTTAATGTGGACACCAAAATGGGATGACTCGTCTTTGACCCTCATATATTATGATTCTCTGTGATTTTGTCAAATCACCCAGCAGTTGTGGACAGACAAGTTGCTTGCTGCTGAAAACTTGTAGTGTCTGATTAGGACACAGTATAATATCACAGTACTTATATACCATATTACTGAACGTTCATGTTCATGTACCGTGGTATTTTCATGGTACTTCTAAGAATACCATACCATAGTAGACGTTTAAAAAACATGATATTAGCATAACTCGAGGAGAGAGTCATAGATAACACAGCGACTTGTATTTGTACATGTATTTATCTTAATGACTGAATGTTGACTGAGACTTTAGCTTAGCCGCGGTTAGCTTAGCTTTGCTTGTAGCTAGTCTTCATATTTCCCCCACAGATGTGCCTCAGCAGAAATATTAAACTTCAGATTTAATCCCAGGCATTACTGTACACAGAGAGAGATTAAACGCCAGCCATGACTGTCACTCATGAGTGCAAGCAATATGACAGGTGATTAGAGACACTTTAGCTAGCAACTGGCAGAGGTAGGCTACTTTTAAAAACATAATTCTTTCTTAAGCTCACTTTTCTTCTTGGTATATTGGTCAAATCACTTGAGCCACATGGGGTAAAACAAATGAAAGAATGCACAGCAAAATTAGATAAAACATGAATAATTAATGCTTGCTCCAAACCATACACTTCTAAAGCAACCAAACCAGCCTTGTTTATATGTTAAATATTTATTTGTAAATGTAAAACAGTTTCGTATTATGTGAGACACCTTTATATATTCATTCATTTGGTTGCCAGTCCAATATGTCAAAAAACAAGTTTCTTGCTCAAAACGTTTCCTCTAAATATAGATATGAAACATCTTGACATGCCTTAACCCTCTTTAATTAATCATTTCAATCACTCTGCATCGTCCTTCCGGCAGACATCTAATAATTATTATATTATAAGTCAATAATTGTTAGCATAATTCAGTACCTCAGTGTAACTTGTTCATTCATTTATTTATATCCATTTTCCTGTGTTCTCATTCATTTATTGTTAAATCAGTTCTCTGTGCTGTGGGCCTAGTCAAAGCTTTTGATCTGATCTTGTTTGTGTTATCTGTGTGTGTAGGTGCCCCAGACGAGCCGTACGGCAGGACCTGCGTGAGTGTGTGTGTGTGTGTGTGTCTACAGCTCAGTGGAATGATTTCAGATCTCCCCAAGGTGCTGATACTGGGGGCCATCGCCGCCGCCTCTGCCTTTGTGGTCACCATCCTTATCGTCTTGGTGTGTGTGGGGTGTCAGAGGTAAGCGAACACACACACAACACACAAACATCTGGTTTACAGGGACTCTATACTGTACAAACATTATTATACTGTATAATCTATCCCATTACCCTAACCCTACCTAAACCTACACCTCACAGAAAACTGTCAATTTTTGAATTTCAAAAAACACTGTTTAGTATGTTTAAAGCCATTTGGTTTACGGGATACAGGACATGTCCTCATAAACCATGTTTACGTTGTAATACCCATGTCATTATACACATTTGCGTCCTCATAAACCGTATAATATACCAGAACACACACAGACTGCAAACATCTTTTACCTATAATACTAGGGCTAAGAACCAGTTATTCACCATATTCCATATATTTTTCAAAAAATAAATATTTATATTCCTATTTAATCCATAATATTAAAAGAAAAAAGGTTGCACTATTTTAAGGTGTCCTTCTTACAGTGTAACAATTAAGCACTGAGTAATATTAATTAATAACATGTAATTACTATATGGGTTAGGATTTGGTTTAGAGTTAGCTGCATGTAATATACATATTAGATATATTATATTATTATTACAAATATATATATATATATATATATATACATACATACATACAAATACAAAAATGTATATATATATATATATATGTACAGCTTGTATAACAGTGTAAATTTGCTGTCCCCTCAAAATAACTCAACACACAGCCATTAATGTCTAGACCGCTGGCCACAAAAGTGAGTACACCCCTAAGTGAAAATGTCCAAACTGGGCCCAATTTGGACATTTTCACTTAGGGGTGTACTCACTTTTGTGGCCAGCGGTTTAGACATTAATGGCTGTGTGTTGAGTTATTTTGAGGGGACAGCAAATTTACACTGTTATACAAGCTGTACACTCACTACATTGTAGCAAAGTGTCATTTCTTCAGTGTTGTCACATGAAAAGATATAATAAAATATTTACAAAAATGTGAGGGGTGTACTCACTTCTGTGAGATACTGTATATGTGTGTGTGTGTGTGTGTGTGTGTGTGTGTATTAGGGCTGTCAGTCGATTAAAATTTGTAATCGAATTAATTACATGATGTTTCGATTAATTAATCTAATTAATCGCAATTAATTGCAAAATTAATTTGACTGTGAAAGTACCCACAAAAGATTATTTAAAAATATTTTTGTGTTAAATGAGAAAGTATCAAGTAGACATTACAAATTGTAGCTTTAGAAATATTTTATTTGATTCAACAAAAAATATTCTTCAAGGTTTATATTGATTTATGACCATAACAGTACATTGTTCATAAGGTGCATGAGCCTTCTTAATTACTGGATTGCTATAATTATGCTTAATTATCTTATTTAAGTTTAATTATGATTGCTTAATTATGTTGCATCAAAAAGTCTGCGTAAACATACCTTTTGCAAAACTTGTATTAAATTTCATTTAGATTTGTTATATCTTTAAAATCTGAAATGATCTCATCACGTGGGAACTGATGTTATCGAACTGATACTGAAAGAATCATTAATTGAATCATTAAGAGCAATCAGAATCAAAACCAGGATGGTTAATTCCTTACGGTTCCCATCCATATCTAATGCTTTATTCCTGATGTTTGTACGTTTGCACATAAACGCTCCCAGTGTTCGAACTATACCGTGGACTTTGGGGGAGCCCACTTGTTTTGTTTTTTTTAACGAGGGGGGGTTTTGTTCGTGCACTTGCGCGTGCCTCAAAAGGGGGCT